TCCCCCTAACTAGCTACCGTGACTCGTTGGATTGAAACGATTGCTATGGGCAAGGTAACCGCGAACTGCAAAGGGATGCATATATGGTCGTAGACCAAAATCTCAATTGCTAAACCAAGGTGAACATTATGGTAGTGTCACTCGGCCTTCACAGTTTAGGCAATCGGTGGTTGACTTACTCCCTCACGCGTCTGTGAACTTAGTCGTCTCCAAAACGCACCGCCTTTCTTCCTAGGTTCACGGTCAATGGCCACAGTTCACGGTCTTAGATATGGTCTCCCATGTTGACCCCCATGATGCTCAAGTTTAAGGAGGGAGTGATTCTTGCTAAAATATGAAGAAACCGGGCAAAGAGAAATCCTCTTTCAAAATGAAACCCCAAGAGTTGTTTAAGGTTTCTCATATATCCGGTGATCATGGAAGATAGCTCCGAAAATTTATCTTTGGAGAGAGACATCGTAAGAAAGGAAACAAATTTTTTAAGGGCGATTTAGCTCCTATTCTTGAAAATGAAGAGTTCGGGGAATGCTATAAGCCATTCACGGATAATGACAACTCTATCAAGGAGCCTCACCCTCACCATTTTGCAAATCAATTCTCAAATAGATCCTTTCTATCTCAAGCACCGGACGAGGCATCCAACAAACTCCATGGTCTTCACGTTGGAGTTCACCACAAGTATGAATTTAACGTTGGGTCATTGGTGAAGAATGGAGGACTCTCCATTTGATCTTAAGGAGTCAAGTCCGACGAAAAGACTTTTAAAGACGCGCTTCTTGGGAGGCAACCCAATACTTTGTTTTGCGTATCTTTTCCCTTTCCTTTACTTTTTAATTAAATAGTAGCTTAGTTAGTACATTAGAGATGCATTGAAATTGATTGATAAGACTTAGCCTTTCTTTTGGATTCTTGATTAAATGTTTATATGAATGCTTGAACTAAGAGACGTGGAGAAAATGAGTTGTCCTGAACAGGGCAAAGATCGCGGTTGACAAGGCAAAGATTGTGGCCCCAATCTTAGGTGCCCAGCTCGTGATCTTGCCCATCCCTATTTAAGCATTGGTAGCCTCTTTAGATCTAAGTGCATTCACTTTTTCACCATTCTCTAGATCCATGCCATTACTCTCCAACTCTCTTGACTTTTTGAACCCACATTCTTTAATCCCATCTTTTAACAACCTTTGAGAAGGATTTTCTATTGATTTTGGATTCCCACCATGTCCTCTAGCAAGATAAGGTACACTTTTCCTTGTTTGACTATATAAATGCCTTATCTTGCCCAACATGTGTTGATTGCGTAGATTCTTTAATGCCCATTTTCTACTTGGAATGACATCTTGATGGCATGAGATTGTTCTTATTTTCTTTAATGAACCCTCTATGTCACTTTTGATGCCATGAAGGGTTGTGCCCATGCATTTATGTCATCTTCAACTACCACTCACCAAGTGTTTGTGAAAAGTCCCTAACCACATAGAGTTCATTATTTGCATCACTTTGGATTAAGCATCAATTTCATTGCATGGAGTGTTCTTCATTGATTGTTCCTACATCAATTTGGGGATATCCCTCTTACTATTTTGGAGATACTTCTCTATCCAATTTCCCTCTTTTGCCAAGTTATTAGTCACATTAAGTGTGGGGGAAGTTTGGAAATTTCATTATACTCTATTGTATTATACTCGATTAATGTTTAATGTTGGATTGATGATTTATGCATATGTGTACCACTTGTTTTGAAGGGATAATATACAAGACTAAAGGCATGACTCATGGTGAGAGCTCTTCCTCTCGAACATCTCGTCCTCGGCAAGGTCAAAAGAAGAAAACAAGGAAGTCCAAGTCAAAGGAAGTGGTTGTAGAAGAAACTCATCCACCATTACAACTTGAACATCAATCAAGGGTAGTCCCTGGATATGAAGAAGGTGGTGTAGAGCACATCACTCACTACTTTTTAGAGCATGTACCCAAGCGATTCAAGATCAAACTTCTGTGGCTTCAAGGGCTACCTTTAGACGAAAGTACTTGTCTCAATTGGATTCTTTTCGCCCAACTTGGAATTGAAGATGCAATCCGCTCTAAAGTACAGAAATTGGAATGGCTCAACTTGCTCTTTATTCAAGAACACATATATCGGGTGCTTGCTCTTGAGATTATTAGTACACTCACTATTCGAGACATGAGGGGTGCCGGCGACGTTGAGGATAACATTAAGTTTCAACTCGGAGGAGATTGCCGTCACATGTCCATACGGGAGTTCACTAAAGTCAATAAACCTAATGTCCATACCCGGCGGGCTTCATTGATTCACCTAATGATCTCACCACCTTGACAAGGGAATCCAACTTCCCTTGTTTCAGTGCCTTCTATGAGTCTGAAGTCAATAAACCCGAGAGCCGACAATGGGATGTGAGACTATCAAAAGCCAGTGAGGTGCAACCGGAGTGGCGACTCATTGACCACGTGATTGCTAGGTCTGTGGGAGAAAGGATTGGAGCAAGGGCAATCTCACCGCCCGAGGCATCATCCTATTTCATACCATGCGCCTCCTACAATCTCTCCACCTATGCCTATCAATCTTATCCATTTTCAAGCGTTACGAGATGGATCACCGACTTGCCGCACTCCACGAAATAGTGTACGTCACCTCACTTGCCAAATATTTCCAAGTAAACTTCGGAGCTGTACAATTTCGATTGGATCGAAGGGCCGTTCCTATTTCCTTTGATTTCTTGAAGTCGAAGCTTAAGCTTCTACACAAGAGAAATGATGGCATTTGGGGTGTGCGGGGATTCCCATTCCCAGCCACCAATATATTGGAAATGGGAGGAACCGTAATCCGTCTTCCGGAAGCTAGGAGGCCAAGGTGCCGAAGAGGATTGACAATCGAGGAAGACCAAGAGGAGAGCGTGCATAAAGGAGGAGAAGTGTTTATTCCCACTTTTCAACTGGTTCGCCCACCGAGCAACAATGCAAGAGAATATAGAATTGAGGCTATGATAGCGACTATACTTCACAACCAACGAAGGGATAAGAAGGCACGGCTTCACATTATGGCGTGCGTCCACGCGATCATGGGGAAAATGAAAATTTCGATCGAAGATGTACGGTCCACATTCAACCGCTCCTACCCTTTAGCACTTTCCCATGATGAAGAAGAAGGACACTCTGAGGAGGAATGAGTTCTAGGCATCCAGGGCCTAAGTTCTATCTTTTCTTTTTCTTTGTTTTTCTTTATTTAAATTAAAAATAATGTTTAATTATCACTTTACTTTCATTTTACTTTTCGTACCTTATATAATAACTACTACTACTACTACTACTACTACTACTACTACTAGAGACACCATGAGGAAAAAGACTACACTTGTGAACCTTCACCAACCCACAACCTGACCTATGGTAACATTCACGATCTTTTCTTGACAAACTCCCCGTATTGAGGACAATGTGTTGCTCAAGTGTGAGGGGGATGTTTGTGCATGTTTATCATGTTTGGTGCAACCATTTATTGCTCGTATCCTCCCTTGTTCGTGAATGTAATACGTTGATGAATGCCTATGGGAGTGTACGCTAGTGATCATGCCTTTGTTGTGGTGATGAATGGTGAAGTATTAGTATTTTTGGAACCTTGAATGCACACCAAATATTTTTTAAATTTGAGGGTTCCAAAACACTTTGTCCTTGCAATCACCTACTCGATGTGCTTTGATTTTCCTATATTGATCGATGTGTTGTGCATCTTAGGTGATAGTTGCATCCTTTGAGTATCGGTACGTGAGGGATTTTACTATTTTCCTCCTATAGTGTGAGTCGATAGTGTTTGCTATCTTAGGAAGGCATTGTGTGCGGGATTCTCATTTGAGTGGCAACATGAGAATAGAAAAATCGAACTTTTTCAATTTGTGCTTGAAAATAGAAAACATACCCTCCATCTTAGGGTATGTTTTTTGCCAATTCATGTGCTTAAGCATTTAAACATTGTCAAATACATCCTTATTTCGTTCTTATTTGATTTTGATGTTATTATAGAATATAGTAGTCAATATGTGCAAATTAGGTACAAAACAAGGTCACAAGTGTAGAAAAGGGGCAAGGATCAAAGATCGTGGGAAAGGATCAAAGATCGTGGGCTAGAAGCCAAAGATCATGGCCGGGACTTCCAGTCGTGAAGACTCGCTGAAGATCGAGACCCAAAAGCCAAAGATCGTGATCACGATCTTGAAGGCCCAGGGCGCGAACTTCGCGTGGAAGGAGCCTTGGAGAAGGAGAGATTTTCCCTAGTCGCATCACGACCAACATTCATTTTTCCCCGGAGGAAGATCACGGTCACTACTCAAGGATCGGGACCACGAAGTCATCCCGCGAGCTTCCACCTTTAGAAGACCATGATGACGTCATCTTGAGATCACGTCCTATCCTCAGAAGATCCCGCCCGCGACCTCCCCGCTTCAGGCCGCAAACTTCTCTGAGTCTAGAATGCCTATAAATAGAAGACCCCTTTCCCCATTTTAAGAGAGTTGATTTTGGGTGAAATTTCTGTATCCAGAGAGAGTGAAGCTTAAGGGAGAAGAAGAGAAGGAGAAGGAGGATCTAGGAGCAAGGAGGATCTTCCCCAACTTCAAGTCTTCTTCTATTTCTACCATGTATCTTCTTCCCTCCTTTATGGAGTAGTCCTCTAAGGTACTAAGGGTTCTAAACCCCAAACCCTAGTTTTAGGGTTTATTATGTATGGGGTTAATTGCATGGTTGGTCACTGAGATTACAAAAAACGTTCATGTTTGTTCACTAGAAATATTTAAATCCAATTTGGTCACTCTAATTAGTTAAATGGTTCAAGTTTGGTCACTCTCCGTCGAACTCCGTTAACTCTTGCTTATGTGGCAGTCAGCTTTTATTGTTGACCGCTAAATGTGCGACGTGGCAATTAAAAAATAATAATATTAATTTAAATTAATTTTTATATTTCCACCTTATTTCTAACCGAAACAGGGATGGTAATGTTGACCGACTGTCACTCCCCGCCATCCTCTGATTCTCCTAGCCACTTCGCATTCATACTTAGCATTCAGTTCGCCCTGGCGGCCATTAAGACTGGCATCATCGCTCTCGCTGTAAGCTAACATTACATAAGAGTACCCCCAAGCAACGACATTTCTGTCATTAACTTGAAACCATGACAGAGAACATGGTATATTCTAATCTCAGGAAGGAGTAGCAGTTCGGAGGAGCTTTGCACAGTACAAGAACTACCACATCGACGACAACAAAGAAATTATAGCCTTAGCCTTCGAGTGATGAACATTGTAGGTTCCTTAACCTCCTGCTACCTGACCCTGGGCTCATTCTCGCGAACCGCGGTGAACTACAAAGCAGGATGCAGGATAGTAGTGTCGAACATAGTCGTGGCGGTAGCTGTGATGTTTACTCCGTCATCACGAGAGCCCATGACCTTGCCGTCGACCAACCCACCAAGCTCCACATCTCCACCGACGAACGATCGCGGTTCAACCCGCCGCTCCCCATCGGTTACCTCGGAACGACGTCTTCCCCGCGACACCCACGGCGGAGGCAGGGGAATTGGTCTCCATGGAGAATTTCAGGAAGAAGGTCTACGAAGTGGATGGGTGAAGAAGAAGAAGAAGAAGAAGAAGAAAAGGGGAATTTGATTCTAGGTTGGGGTTAATTTGCTTGATTTGTGTGTCTTCTAATAACAGCTCTCTATTGATTTTGGGTCGGTCAGCAATCGGTTAGAAATGAGGTGGAAAGTATAAAAATTAAATTAAATTAATTATTTTTTAATTGCCACGTCGCATATTAAACGGTCAACTATAAAAGTTGACTGCCACATAAGGAAGAGTTAACGGAATTGGACGGAGAGTGATCGAACTTGGACCATTTAATTAATTAGAGTGACCAAGATTGGATTTAAATATTTCTAGTGACAAAAAATGAACGTTTTTTGTAATCTCAGTGACCAACAATACAATTAACCCATTATGTATGTATGGATATTTTAGGGTTTGAATGAATGAATGTGTTTGTCTAGTAGATTCTTAATGTTTCTCTTTCCTAAATGATGACGCTTGGGCAAATGGCCTCAACCTTCCCTATTAGTTTGCTTTATGCTACCACGCTTTGTACGGAGTCCTAGGGTTAGACGGGTATGCGCTATCTGGCGAGTTTAGGTTAGATGAGTGAATGGGGGCCTATAGTGGTTCAGACGATCGAACCCCTATTATAGGTAGCCTTTCTAGATGAAACCTAGGATGAAACCTCAGTGTGGATGGTGGATAGTATCATTGAAATGAGCCATAAGCTTAATGCCCCATATACGATACCCTAGATCGAGGTGACTAAAACATGGTTTTAGGGGAGGCGTACTCGGAGGCGTGTGGATAACAACAAAGGCCCACGAAAAAGAGCTCACTCATCACATTCGATAACCCTAAGTATCTATACATGCATAGTATCCCTAAGCTAGGGTGAGGATTAGTTTCTCGAAGTACCTACTTTTAGCTTTGATCAGCCTCTAGACTAGTGTTTCCTCATATCCTCCACTCAAACCCTCAAAAACCGATTACCTAATTAACAACAAGGTGGGAAGTAGGCTAGGGTACCAGGACCCGAGTAGAAGATGACCTTGATTACCACTATACGGCTATCTCGTCCTAGGTTAAACTTGCCTTAGGATGGGATAGTTGTTGATACATGCAAACCACTGACGATAACTAGTGTTTCCTCATCTTGTAGCTTATTTCCTCCTCAACAAACCTTAAGGTGATCTTGCTTCCACTTACATCAATGATAATCCGTGTCGTGGCTAAGAATGGTCGGTCTAGAATAATAGATGCATCATACCCCTCCGTGTTAAGAACCACGAAGTCTACCGGGTAAACGAAATGAGCACACTTTACCAAGGTGTTCTCTATGATCCCTCTTGGCTTGACAACGGATCTATTGGCCAACTCAATTTGCATTGAAGTAGGTACGAGTGGTCTAAGATCTAATTGATTGTATATCCGTGTAGGCATGATGTTGATGCTAGACCCCAAATCGGCTAACAGATTCCAAAAAAAAAATATTCCCACAAGTGCATGGAATAGTGAAGATTCCCAGATCTATTAGGTTGGGAGGGAAATCTCAACAACCAATAGATGTCGAAGAAACTTCACTAACGAACACCATAGCCACTTCTTCCATTTTCCTCTTTCCCGACAATATTTCTCTCAAGAATTTAGTATATTTGGGGATCTTCAACACCATATCTAGGAAGGGGACGGTTACCTTTAACTGCTTCAAGCTATCATTCCATGGAGCACATTCATGATGGAGATCGCTTTCAAATAACCATCCAGGATAAAGGGCTTTCGATGTTGGCTCGGGTTCATGAGTCTTCATAGACTTTTCCGCATCTTCAACATTAACATCAACGGAAGGTTGAACTTCTTCCTGAGCTAACTCTTTTTCTTGCAAAACCTCTTGAGGAACTTCTCTTACCGGGATCCTTGGAGTTGGTATAGGAATCTCCTTTAGTGACTAGCCACTCCTTAGAGTTACCGCATGGCATCGTTCTTTTGGGTTATGCTCAGAATTTCCTGGTAGAGCTCCTTGAGGTCTCAATGTGATAGTATAAGTCAATGAACTTAGTTGGGCTTCAAGATTTTGAAGTGAAGCTTGTTGATTTCTTTGTCCCGCTTTCAAACTCGAGAATTTGGTTGCTGTATTTTCTATGAACTTGTCAATAGCTTCAAACTTCTTGTTGGATTGTGTGACAAATTTCCCTACCAAGTCTTCAAGCTTAGCAAGTCGGCCATTGGAGGGTCGGTTTTGTTCTCGAAATGTCCCTTGGTATGTTGGTTGACTCGGCCACGGATATGCATTTTACATTGGAGCATGAGATTGAAATCTCGGAGGTTTCCTTTCCGTCGGAGAAGACCAAAGGAAATTTGGGTGACTCCTCCATGCTGGATTATAATTCGAGCTATAAGGGTTATTTCCTCGGGATTGACCTCCAACAAAGTTGGATTGCTCGAATTGAATAGAGGCTTCAATCATTGACTTGCATTCTTCCATGGTATGCCTCGCGTCACCACACCAATCACACTTCATAAGTTGCTTTCTATTGCCTTTCATTGATGATGCAACTTGCTCAATCTTCTTGGAAAGTTCTTGAATATGGGCTGATAGAGATGATGGTTGACTCGCTCTTACCGTCACTCTAGAAAATGGCCAAGTGTAACCACTTCCTAAAGCGTAGTATAGCGGGTTTGGGTTTTAATGTCAACCCGGGTCCTAGATGTGATGACTACTGACACGCCAAAACACAACACCAAACTGCGACCAAGTGTAATCGCAGTCCGGGAATGCAGTAAAGTGGCAAGTTCTATTATCAACCCGGGGTCTAGATCTACTGCTTACTCCATGATTATCTATTATCTAGCCAACTAAGTCAAGTGATTGTTGTTTTAAGCAAAAGTAGTAAGAAAGCAGGAATTGGTTCGGTTTTCTCAAGCAAAGAAGAGTCACTCGAGAATGAGTCCCCCTAGCTCTTTAGTTAGGTCTCAATTGTAATTACCCTGGGTTGATTTACTGTTGATTAGACTACGGAAGATCCGACAGTAGCTTGGAATCTCTTAAGCTGACCAAGCGCTCTCAGTCTAACTACCCGGCAGACGACTAGTCTTCACCGGGATAGATAGCTGAAGCAATAAGCACAGAACTCCACTACTGGAATTGGATTCCAGTACAAAGCAGTAAACTGGCTAACTCTCATATAGCCAATCTCCTACTAACGAATGAAGAAGCTCTAACAACCTAATCAGATTCTATCTATCTCAGGTTGCAGCAGAAATCAAGAAAAGCTTATCAGACTTCAATCAATTCAATAAAACATGCATCATTCGATTAAAACCAAACAGTATAATCATCCCAAGTCATTACAATCAAATACCTAACACACGGAACTAGGTTTCTTCATACCCAAGTGAGAGAAGGGTTCTACTCCATAGAGAGAGAGAGAGAGAGAGAGAGAGAGAGAGAGAGGAAAACAGAATACAAAGTAGTCATAATCATAACAATGGGAAGAATCCGCTCTGGGATGATGATTTCCACTCCTATGACGATCTCCAAGCTTGATTTAATGAAACCCAGCTCCAAGATTGCTTCTAGGATGTGTTCTTCGCACTTTCTCTCTCTGGGGCTCTGTTTTTGCTCTCAAAAGTCGATTCCCTCACTTGTGGCCGAAATTGGGTAAAAACCTGAAAATCCCGATCACACGGGCAGGCCACACGCCCGTGTGGCATACCCAGATGCCCGTGTGATATACAAAACGCCGCGTTTCCAATAATTGCACTTCAGGCTACCTACACGGCCAGGGACACGCGGCTGTGTGGCTCACCCAGTCTGCCCGTGTGAAGCCTCGCATAATCCCACACGGCCACATTGCTCCTTCACACGGCCGTGTGGGTTGTATTTGTGCCCGTGTGAAGGCTCGCACAATCCCACACGGCCACATTGGTTTCTTGCATGGCCGTGTGGGTTTTGTGTGTGCCCGTGTGGCTTCCTCAGCGACTTGCCTCACGTCCGATCTTCGTCCAATCGACCCCGAACTCGCTCCCAAACCTTCATTCACGTACTAGGACCTGAAATATCACAAACAAGCACAACCTAGCGTGAAATTGGCCTAAAACACGAAAATCAACACCTCTAACGGCTCCAGAATAGGGGCAAAAACATATGCAATTACTGGTTTATCAAACTCCCCCACACTTAACCGTTTGCTTGTCCCCAAGCAAACCAAGTCAGACACAAGGTAAGCTCACATATTTCAATCATACCAACATTGGGGACAAATCATATAGGCACAGAACACGTGAATCATACTGGCTTTCAAACATCAATACATGAACAACCTCAATAGCAACCTGGACAACCACCACAGAAGACATTCGAGTGCAGAAAAATCAAGTAAAGGAGGAGTCTCCCTTCTGTTCATCAACCAACCTAGACTTGACTCAACCACTTACTCAAGACAGTCAACTCATGCATAAAACTCAAGACATCAGAATCAAGACTGAGCCATCTAGGTCCTCACCGGGTAAAGAGTGTAAAGAACAAGGAAATGAATCGCTCACTCTCGACCAGTGGGGTCATGACAATTTGATGCGAAAAATGCGCATACTCATTCTCTCAATTCCTAACATCTCTTCACCATGACGGCAGCCTCTAAATGTTAAAGTTCACATAAATGGTTGTCATCACTAACTAATCCGGAGGTCTTAGACACAGGTTCAAATGACTGGTTAGGGTCTTGGACATGGGGAAAAGGCCTTTTAGGTGGTGGAAGTATTCATAGCACAAGGTTCCACAATTCCAAACCCAACAAACTCACAATCAATCAAACCAGTACTTTCTTTCTGCTATTCTGCATTACTCAAATTTCTCAGAGCACAAGAGCGAAGGAGGTCACATATATGCTAGTATTTCTAAGCCAGACTGCTAAGAAACACTACTTAATGGGCACTATTCAGATTTTTGGTGGTGGCTCTCTTTTGCTTTCATTTTTTCTTTTTTTTTTCTTTCATTTTTTCCATTTCTTAAGAGGACCACCACCTCTGCACATTTTCAAACACCTTCCCAACTCTTTAAGAACTACCTCCAACTCTCACATTACATTTAGCAGAA